GGGCCCCTTATAAAATAATAAAATAAAAATTAATTTTAATGATTAAAAAGTAAATTAATTACCTAAAATTAACAATATCCTATTAAAAGTGGTCAACCTAAAATTAATGCGCGCGTGAAATATTGCTTGTAAAAAGGAAGGGCATGTGCAAATATGGACAAAAAGTGAAATCCCAGTAACGTAGAAATTGTACTCCGGCGAAGCAAAAAGGTTGCTATCAGCTCCCAAACTTTTGGTGCGGAAATCTTCAACCACCGGCGGAAACGCCATCCCATCTGCGCCTTCCAGATCGGTGTTTAACATTGGTAGCGACGAAATGTCAATTTCCTCTATTTCAATGCCCTTTAACGACTCCAAATTCCTCCGTTAACTGGATTGCTGCGGCGAAAATTTTACTTACCAGAACCATCAGACAACCATTGGATTATCATTTTCCTAACAACATAAAAAGTGAAAACAGTTTCATATGGAAAGTCTATATATAACTTCAATTCGACTTCTTTGACAAACAGATATGCTCCAATTACCCTTTTATTTCTGTCACTAACAGATGTAACCAACATGACTCCAAGTTTTTTCTCTTCTTCCTCTTTTTTTTTATGTTCCAGCATTAACTCAACGTTAACAATTAATATTTAACCGACATCAGATGTCCCATATGAAGTAACAAACTAATACGTACATTAAACAATGAAGAGACAGATAATTGCAAATTGCTTAATAATTAGCTTATGCTTGGCCTGAAAGAAGCATATGCAAGGATTTCGGGGTCTTGTTCAAGTTTTGTCATTTCTTCCTCTGTTAAACCTATCCATGCTTCGATTCCCTGACCGTCACTAGCATCCAACAGAATGGCAAGCTTGTTCAGCCGCAGGACAGTCGCCACCCAAACGGGCTTTCCCCATCCAAAGTCTGTTTCATAAAATGGAAATCGACACCAACTACTGAAAGCAAAGGGCATCACACCATTCTTCTGCTCGTCGGTATTACTTTTTCTGATCATCATGTTTAAGTATTCACCACGCTTCCTCACATACTCCTCTTTCATCCTTTTTATTGACTCGTGAATTTTTCCAGCTAGATTGCTGTGTTTTACGTTCTTCTCCGTCGTCGAAGTTGCCATGGTAGCTTGGTAGATGTTTCCAATGCACAATTCAGGTAACACAGGATTCATTATCTTCCTTAGGTTCACTGGAAATACTGCCACATGCATTGGAATATTTCCAGTCTTCTCCATAGCTATTGCAGCGCCCCATATGAGGGCGGAGACAGCCTCCACGCGCGTGGGACGGTAAAAACATTCTTTCTCCTCCATGCTGATTTTGTTTCTTAAAGCGGCTATCTTCGAACCATCAAACAAAAACCTTTTCATTACACAATTGGCTTGCCGAATTTTCATTCTATTTTCCATGAGCTGTTGTAACTCTGTTAAATCTTGCGGAGGGAAGAGAGAGGTGCAATCGTAAATCACACCATTAACATCAATATCATTTACTCCAGAAGCAGTTGCTGCCCAGCTTTTAACAAAGCTCGCTGTAGCTGACGCATCCACAATTACATGCCTAATGCATACACCAATGGCCATGCCACCACAAGCAAAGTAATTAACCTGAACTGCTAGGATGACCCGACTACTGGGATCAGCAAACTTTTCAAGTGGATCACAAGGAAGTAGCCTTTGCAGCATATCAATCTCCGGTTCATTAAGAACCACATCAGACATGTTAGCTTCTATTTGAGCTTCAACGTAGGTAGCACCACGATCGTTGCAGTCAATTGTGAAGGCATCATCCTTGTTGATCTGTCCGGTAAATGGATAGAAGTGGGCTAATGTTTTTGAGAGTGATTTCTTGAGGTGATCTGACCATCTTTTCCTATGATTTTTTAGATCATCAGTAGGAGAGTAAAAAAGAAGAATTGGTACGTAAACTGGAGGAGCTGACTGATCAAAAAGAGAGAGATTGAAAGTTTTTAGGTGGGGTGGGGTCGAAGGGGAAGGTTTGATGGTTTCGGTGGAGATGATTTGTACTTTGATCATGTCCATTTTCGCTCTGAATGGCTAAATCTAAATTGCATTGATTTAGTTTCATTGATACGAGCGTTATATATAGAAACGAATGTGTCATGTGGAGTTAGGGCCCCCTATACTTTTGAAAAAAAAATCAAATTCCGTCCTTTAAACCTTTAGTTTAACATTTACATCCTTGAATTAGTCTTTATTTCATATCAAGTGCTTTTCTAATTTTTTTGAATGGGGAAAGCCCGTTTGGGTGGGGGCTGCCCTGCGGATGAACAAGCTTGCCATTCTGTTGGATCCTAGTGACGGTCAGGGAATTGAAACATGGATAGGTTCAACAGAGGAAGAAATGATAAAACTTGAACAAGACCCCAAAATCCTTGCATATGCTTCTTTCAGGCCAAGCATAAGCTAAGTAAGCAATTTGCAATTATATGTCTCTTCATTGTTTAATGTACGTATTAGCTTGTTGCTTCACATGGGACATCTGATGTGGATTAATTAATTGTTAACGTTGAGAAAATGCTAGAACATAAATAAATAATAATAATAATAATAATAATAATAATAATAATAATAATA